AGGGTTTAGGGTTTGGGGCTTCGAGGGTACTTGGAGGATCATGGGACTTCTTAAGGTTATACGTCCCTGAATTGGGGTGATAAGTAGGTATAAGTACAGTTACCTTTATAAAGTAGAAGCCTATATTCGAAGGAGCGGGTGTATGCTCAAAGTGTGTAGGACTTTAGCAGTCTCGGGCTCCGGACCCCCTAACACAACCCCAAACCCTGTACAGGGTTCACAAAATAAAGATCAAGGCCTATAGGGCTCAGGGTATAATATAGCGGTTTCGGTGCATAGGGCTGGGTTGCATATAGTACACCCCGAGTTCTGGACAACAACCTTGAAACCAGCGGCCCGACCTTGTAGTCCAAGCAATAAAGCCCCTAAACCCTAAACCCTAAACCTCAGACTCGCTGGAAGAGTCGATCGGCAGGTCTTTTTTTGCACGGGCCGGTCCGGTGGCTCCGGACGGTCGACCTTTGTATGGTTAACGGGTTATAAAATAACATTTTAGGGTTCAGGGTTCAGGGTATAACCTATAATATAGGACCCTGATCAGAAGGCACATACTAACTAGTGACCCCTAAAGCCTGTACCCAAACCCTAAATATAAGAGGCTCAAAACCACCAAGTGGTTCCAAAAAGTAAACAGCAAGGAACGAGCCGCGACTCTACCGCCGAATGCTTCGTTCGACATCTTCGGGTCGATCGGCAAGAAGCCTGGCCAGGGTATAGAGTTTATGAGGACTATATATATGCATGCATATATACATATATGTATATTTATTTTTTTTCGGCCCAGATCGCACCTGAGGAAATAACGTTTCATCATAGAAACCTCGAAGCTTCGAGCTGAAGAGACTACAGATTTCTGGGCCAAAGGCTTCAAAAGCCCCAGCACGTCTTCTTCTGAATAATTCTGAAAGTATCTCGGGTTGTACTTCTCGCACAGACATCCTCTCAATAATTCATCCATCGCATGCAATTTCGGCCTCAACTGAAACCGAAGTTGTGCCCTGGCAGAAAATATTTCGGCTGCTTCTCTGTAGAATCGCAGGGCCAGCTGACCTCGACTGTAGAGGTTCTCACTCTCGCTCGCAGTCAAGTAACGGCCGCTGGTCTCCAGATCATTCTGCACTTCGCTCATGAGGAACCTTGCAATATACTCCTAGTACGAATTCTCGATAATTTTATATGGTGAGAACCCGGGGCCACTGGTCCTAGTCTACTTCGAAAATGAATGCGAGCAAGCATCACACAGGTCGTGATGATCGTGTTTAAGTCGCACCGTCTTTGGTGGTCAAGATCTGACTCTCCATCCCGACGCTCGCAGATCTTCTGCTGTGTCACGGAATCGCAGAGTGTAGCCTTACTGATGTTCCACTTAGAAGCGTTTGTACGTGTACATGTACTAGAGCGAAATTAGCAAAAGCATGCACGAATGATGATCGAGAGGTGAGTGTCAGCACACCACGCAAGCACGATCCGGCAGTTGAATGCCTTGTATCCCAAATAAGGAAAGTCAGTCTCGACGAGGTGCAAGAGTCTGCAAGAGAACTGTCGTCCGCTGCACGACAGCTTGTTGATGCGAAGCCAGCCTTTAAAATGGATGTATGCTGATCGGAGTCGAGCATCCATACCATCTGTCATTGGCGAAAAGACTTGCGACTCGCAAAGCCAAAGCAAGGCTTCCGCGCAGAGAGTTTGATAAATTCCCAGCGCCAAGACGTGCATCGCACAGAAGCGGATGATGCCCGGATGAAATCCATCCACGAGCACAAGAGGGCACGGAGCATCTGGCATCGAAACCAGCAGGCACTCTTCGAAACTGCGACGAGGGATATCTGATCCAAAGAGGACGAAGCAGCATTGCCCATCATTGCCCTTGCTGTTAAGGGTCGCACGGCACGCGTGACAAATCTGCTTCGACTTCCAGTGTGTACGCATTTGCCACAAACGCTGGTGCCACTCCCAGTCTCCTTTAAATTCCGCGACCGCAAATTTACGAGACAGACATTGTTTGAGCTTCGTGTGTTGCCGTGGAATCTGCAAGCAGGGATCCTCTGGGTGCGACTTCGGTCGCCGTCCAGCAAAAGCAGCTTTCAAAGACCAGCATGTTCGGTGCAGGATCGGTCGCATCGTGACCTATAGAGTTTGACAGGGCGAGTATGAGCAAACAAAAAAATATAAATACATATATATATATATATATATCAGACGAGACTATATGGACCGAGATGCGGCACCCGCACTCTTGTATGAATTCAGCACGAAAAACATGTAGGTTTTGCGCCAGGGTTCTCCTGCCGACCAGCGTGCTGAAAAAAAATACCCTAATTGCCCTATAGCCCAGAACCCTTTTAAACCCCTGAACCCTAAACCCCTATATGTCGATTCCACTGGACCCGGCCTTTAATTCGAAACAGCGGGAATGTCAGCAGCAGCGCTGTAAACTTGTCACCCTCACGGGTGAACTGTGCAGCATCACCATAGACCTGATTGCTCTCAGATCTCTAAAGGTTTAGGTCTTATGGCTTCAGTGTTCCCGCAAGGCTTGGAATGTAACTCGCCTGGATCACCTTGGGGCTCTTGGGGTCATGGGTTTAGGGTTTTCGTTGGGGTGTAGGGATGTGTGCGGGGTATTGCTCCGAGAAACAGAAATTGGCACATGGTCGCTGCCAGCTGGATGCCTCTGGGCCCATTCCACGTCCAGCTTTCTGAAGTGCTCCCAGAAATACCTCATGAGGACCCGACTCAGAAATCAAGTTTCTAAATACGCAACATACGATGCTAGTATAACTATTGATGCTACTAGTTGGTCAAAGTCTCTGGATTTCCTTGTCGTCAATGTTGACCCTTTCGTTCACGAACAACCACTCCAGCAGCTCGTGTGGGTCGAACATAGGCAATGACACATCTATAAGCTTGCCCGCTTCTTCAGACTCGTTATCCAAAACTTGTGTGGGTACGTAGCTCAGGGCCTCGGGGTTTAGTATATATTATATATTTAAACCAAATTCCTAAACCCTATAATCCCGGCCCCATATATAATTATAAGCCCTAAACCCCTAAACCCTAACCCTAAACCCCTAAACCCCTAAACCCTAACCCTAAAATAAGTTAAAGCCCCTAAACCCTAAAGAACACTTCACCAAGCGGCGATGGGCAGTCTCACAAATCTAAAAAGATCCCGGGCTGCGTTGCCCCTGGTCTGCATGGAGGCCAGCTTCTGGGTGGTGGCATGCATGTGCTTCTGGCCCGCCTCCTTCCAATTAGTTCTATCAGCATCAGCTCCGGGGCTCAGGTTTAAAGGGCGGGCTTGAGTTAGCAAGATGCAGTATAATGGGCTTGAGTGGCTTTCGGTTTCTACATGCATCTCTCCTGTGCAGCAGCTTGGGCAGTTTTCACTGCCTTCCAAACTGAATCATGTCCTTCACCGACTTGTCTAAGCCTTGGATTTGTAGTGATTCGAACTTATCCCGTTTTTGTCAGACATTTCGAAGCCAAGACACACATGAGCAGCGAACGGCATCTTGCTCGCCATCGCACGGCCGCCTGCAGTGATCGATAGATGTAGATGATTATAAGATACGGTGTAAGCGCTAGTGTTAGCTCGCATACAGGTGTGATTCACACCTTCGTACATTGAAACCCCGGCCTCTAGCACTTTATCTTTAAACCCTGAGCCCTAAACTAAACCCGATGCCTAAGCACCCAAGCCCTGATCCTGTAGAGGATGCTGCACTCCGAAACATAATATGGGTTTAGGATGAAACGCTTCATAAGGTTTTAGGGTTTTGGGTTTAGGTGTTTAGGTGCTGAATCCCACAGATCATGACACCCAGCTATGTGAACAATGCAGCACTCTCATTCCACGCCCCAAAAGTCTAGCCAGGAAATCATAAGGCACCACTTGAGACCGCAGCAGGCCTGCTGGTGATCGTGATCTTTTCCTCGTGCCCAGGCCTGGCCGATGTTGCTAGCAGGGTTATAAGGCCTAGGGGCAGCTATAGCTGGCCTGTTCGGGATGATGAGCTCGGGGTCGGAACTGTAGACGTAGAGGCATGTTCAGGTGAATCGGAGCGAGATCGTGCCCTGTTGGAACCTGGCTTCTGGATTGGACTGCGTGTTTACAATAGGGTTTAGAGGGAATGGTTTATTAGGGTTTAGGGGTGAGGGTTTGGCTCAGGGGGAGCGAGGGTTTAGGGTTTAGGGGAGGTCGGGGTTCGGGGAGGGTTTAGAGGGCAGGGTTTAGGCTTTGGGGGGAGGGTTTGGGGTTCAGGGGAGGGTTTAGGGTTTAGGGGGGAGGGTTTAGGGTTTAGGGGGGAGGGTTTAGGCTTTAGGGGGGTTTAGGGGGGAGGGTTGAGGGTTTAGGAGGGAGGGTTTAGGGTTTAGGGTTGGGGAACGGTTTAGGGTTTAGGGGGGAGGTGCATGTACGTAGACTCCCTGAAACTAGATCAAAGGCGAGGAGCCACATCGAATGTATCTACTTTCAGGCACAGGTCGCCCAGGTCTCGGTTTGGCCGATCGTGATCGGCTGGATGAACCAGGGGTCTCCGATCCTGAGGTATGATATATATATATATATATAGTAGAGATATTATAGATCTATGCTTTAACGCCGTTTGTGTAGTCGTCTCTGGTGATCGAGGATCGGACATTCCGTCAACCTACGGGCAGCGCTCTTTATATAAAATATTATTGCAGCTTGGTTACGTTTAGATCTCCGTGTAGATCCATGGCCATCTGCAGGAGCGGCGTCGTCAGTGGGACCTGCGTAGGATATTGGGTTTTATTTAGGGTTTAGGGTTTAGGGTTTAGGGTTTAGGGTTTAGGGTTTTTATATTATTATATTGATAAGCCCGAAGCCCTCAACCCTAAACTCTATAAGCCCTAAGCTCTAAACCCTGAGCCCGAGGCCCTAAACCATGTGGGCTTTATAGATCTTGCATTGAAATTGATCCTGCGCCGACATCATATACCTCACACACCTTTGCACTTCCACGGGTCCCGTAGGGGGTTTAGGGTTTAGGTGCGGGTCGCTGATTATAATGCTACATCATCAGGTGATCACACACGGAAGAGTCGCAGAAGTTTTTCGGCGAGGCAGCGCTGCTTCGATCCATACCCTGAGGGTTTACTCGGTTGCAACTGGCTCCGGGTTCCTTGTCCTAGCTAGCACATACAGCAGATCTAGAGTGTGTGTTCCTATGGGCTTAGTTTCCCGGGCTCTCCAATCGCATAGTCCTGAAACAAAATTTGTGGGGCCTTGATACTCTCTGATCAGAGCCCGATCCCCTGTCAGGTTCATCCCGACATCCCAGATCAAAAGTCTCTAGATGCAGGCCCTGTGCACTGAATCAGTGCACTGGCATCTAGATCTCATTGGAAAACATCGCCAGATAGCTATCTAGGCTTTTGCTTTGGCCTTGGCCTTGCTAGCGGTCTTCTTACCATTCGATGGGGTCGCTTTCTTCACGGCACTTCTGATGGGCTCAGCCATCTTCTTGAACTGAACGAGCGCATTCAGCAAGACCTCATGATCCAATAGAGTTGCATGTAACGTGCAGTATTCATGCGCCAGCCAAGCAACTCTAAGTTCAGCTGAAAAACCTCGGTAGGAGCCTTCAATCCAGCCTCATCTTTCTTCTGGCCCAATGCCGTAGCTATCTTAGCCTTGGCATCCCGGAGGTTGGCGACGGCGGGCTTCAGGTCGTCCATCATGGCTTCCATCATCTTTTTGCCCCTGGACAAGATTGGAACGGGTCGTGCTCTTTAATTAAAAGCCTCATTAGAATTCCGGAATCGTGCAAGCCCCTGATCGGTTTAGGGTTTAGGCCTTTGGGTTTAGGGTGTAGGGCTTAGGGTTTAGGGTATAATATATTTGCATGCAAGTTGCATCCCCATGTCCAGTAGGGCTTTCTCGAAACCCTCCTGCTCGGTGAGCTCCATGTTGGCTTTGTTGTTCGCCTGCATGGGTACTATATCTTGCTAGGTGTAGGAATGAATATGAGGCCTACCATGCATGCAGAGTCATCAATGGGCCTGGTTGGCTTGCTGTTTCCATGTCTTCTCTTTGGGCTGTGGCTTCGGCTTGGTTGTCTTATTCGGAGCGCTGCCGGCAGCACCGTTGCCAGTCTGCTGGTCATGCAGAAGCTTTTCCCTGGGCTGGGGTTTATTCGGGGGGCCTTATGGGTTTCAGGATATTCATATCGGGTGTAGATTCAGACGATACTCAAAGACCAGGCGGTAAGTCTTTGAGGGATATACTTTAAAGTACATATATAATAGCTAGTACCAGACTAGAGAATTTCAATTTAGCACTGGGGCAGAAACCCAGCGTATACCACCTCTCAGGACTCATGTAGATCCAGGGGGTGGAAGAAGTTCAAGTGACATTGACCCCAGGGATTTTCCCAGACACATATATCTCATATAATAACACTAATTAACTATAAAAAAAAACCTAAAACCCTAAACCCTAAACCCAAGCATACGGGGACCGAGTCGTAAACGGGCTGCAGGCTCTCAGCATGATCTGCTGGGTTTGGGATTCATGACACACCCGTGGAGTGCCCCGTTAATTAATCTGGGAGCAAGGATCCTGGGGCTTATAGGGTTTAGGGTTTTGGGGGTTTTAGGGCTTTCGGGTTTGAGGGTTTTGGAAGTTCAATTGACATTGAACCCAGGGATTTTCCAAGACACATAACCCCTAAACTATAAACCCTAAAACCCTAAACCCTAAACCCTGAGCGTGCGGGGACCGGGTCGTAAATGCACTGCAGGCTCTCAGCATATTAATATCATTAATAGTTTTTGGGATTCATGACACACCCGTGGAATGCCTCGCGTGTTAATCTGGGAGCTAGCTTAAGGGTCCTAGGACTTATAGGGTTTAGGGTTTTTGGGGTTTAGGGTTTGAGAGCTTTAATGATCTGGGTTTAAGTGTTCGGATTCATGACACACCCGTGGAATGCCTCGTGTTTTAATCTGGGAGCTAGCTTAATTAAGGGTCCTAGGACTTATAGGGTTTAGGGCTTTAGGGCTTTAATGATCTGGGTTTAAGTTTTTCGGATTCATGACACACCCGTGGAATGCCTCGTGTTTTAATCTGGGAGCTAGCTTAATATAAGGGTCCT